TTTGAATTTTGAAACATGAAAATGCATTACTGATTCAAATAAATAAAGACAACAGTGACTCTCCCAACCCCCACCCCAAAAAAGAAAACCAAAATATAAAGAAGATTATATGATGTGTTCAAAGTTACTGGGCTGTTAGGAGGAAGTCAGGACTCAAAATTAGCTTCTGACCTCAAGTCAGGGTCTACTAATGACAGCTGGTTCATTCATTCAACACGAATTTATTTAATCAGCACTTATTCCACAGCAGGGAGCTGCCTTGTGCGGGGACAGTTGGGCCAGGAAGTAAACACTTGTAGGAAAAGCAGATGAAAGGAAGAACCCATTTCTGCACCATGCCTCACAACCTGGCCAAAAGCACCAGGCCGGGACCGTCGCAATGAGTCAGACTGGCAGACACAGCAAGTCGTTTTACTAGCAGTTCCTGCTCAGGCTAAAGGAGGATCTGGGGTTTGCCATCTCAGGATACAAGCCCAGCTTTGCGAGATCTGATTTTTCCCAAGAGAAGCCAAAAATCCAGATTTTTAAAAATGTGAAATCACCTGATTTGTTAGGTGTTGGTAACTAATGCAACAGGCCAACCAGCTCTTTTGGTGGCAAATACGTAGGTTTGTGACCTTTATTCTAACCCATCACAGCTACAAACACAAGCCTTTCAGACCTTCTATCCAGGGCCTAACCAGGTGTCAAGTAGACCTGCGCTAAGCAGTTGCGGGGGCCTTGGGCAAGTCACTTCGCTTCTCTGGGGCTGCTGACCTGCCAGTTAACTGGGGGACTGGCCCAGCAGACAGCCAGGACTCTCTTCCAGCATCTCTAGCTACGCACTCAGCCCCTACCCTCGAGAGCTGCACACAGTGGGCAGCTCTGAGAGCCTAGGCAGGGGCTCAGACCCTAACACAGCTCAAACCCACGGCCAGCCCTCCGCCGATGTTTCAACGCCCACCTACTGCCTCATCTCACCGACCAGCCTCTCAACTAAGCCGCTCTCTGTCTTATCCCATTCTCGCCCCACACTGATTCCTCCCTGGAGCCACAAGCACCCGTTTGTATTATGTGCTCACCAGGAGCACTCCTCAAAGACACAGGGCAGGCCAGCAGCACCACCCAAGGTATTGCCAAAGGCAACACGCAGCGGGCAGGACCCTCCAAGCCAGCAGAGGAAACCAGATCTGGAGACCCTCCCCTCCCCCACTCCACCCAGCCCACTGCATGGAAACCAGGTCAGAAGTACATTTTCAAGAGCAGTGGGAGCACTTTGGCAAACCAATTGCCTGCCATGACTATTATTATCATTATTATTGCTGATTGGAATAATATCAACTATGATCAGAGGTTGGCCATGCCACGTGGTCAGGACGGTGCCAAGCTTCTGTTTATACTGTATTATCTCAGTTAATTTCCACCCTAAACCAATGAGGTAGAGGTTTCATGAGGCCCATTTTTCAGATGAAGAAACAAAAGCACACGGAGTCACTCACTGCAAGGGAGAAGACTAGTAAGAGGGACCACGAGTCTAACCCTACATGATCCCAGAGCCTGAGCTCCTGAGCCCTCTGTTTTAAACAACGCTGGTGCCTGCCCCACACAGAGCCGAGTGACCGACGGCCACTCACTTCCCCTCACGAACATCCCCGACAGCCTCTTACCTTGTCCTGGCAGCAAGCACGCTCTGTCCCTCCCGGGAAGGAGGCTTGGCTTCTTCCGGCCCTCACCGGGAGAGCTGGAGTCACTGTGTCTGTCTACTGGTTCTGCATCTAACAAGCCCTGACAGAATGGAAGTTCCTTAAAAGCAAAGACCTTTTCTGTCTTGTTTACTGCCATACCCTGGTGCTGAGCATGGTGCTGGGGACATCAAAGGCCCCCAGGAAATATTTTTAAATAATGGAATGAAAGATGGGTTTCCAAGCCCCCAGGAGGAGCAGCTTTTTGTTTCCGAGAGACCAGAAAAAATTGCCTTTGCTGCTGATTGATCTCGGGTCCACCTAAGCATTACCGTCCACAGGGGCGTGGACCTGGGCCACGTGGGTGAGGAAAACCGGGTCTGTTTGCTGGGCAGTGGAGCCTCCAAACAAGGCACCGGAGAGGCGCCTGCGCATGGCACAGCACGTTTGTTTTGATTAAGGACCAGCCTTCACAACTCTTACGAGACAAAAGCCAGGCAAGGACGGACACAGACTCCTACAAACAAGAAGATGTTAAGGGTCAAGTGTGGACTATGGAAAAGGCACAACAGGAAGCAGGAGACAGCTTTCTCAGCGCTCCACTGGAAACCGAGCACAGACAGAAGAGTCCGGGAGTCTGACTTTGTGCAACGGTAAACACTAAAGGAAACAGGATGCACACTCAAGTGTTTATCTCTAAATGCCGACAGGACTCAGAACACTGAAGATTTCGATGCACCTACAAGTAATTATATCATCACATCACGTCATCATCACCATGGCCTGCAAACCACCGTACGATCACCAGAAAAATGCCCTTCAGTGGTACAAGTTAAGCAAAACTGTGGGAAATAATCCCACAACTTATTTACTCACCTATAAGTCCACATTAAGTATCAAGTGTCTTTGGAGTGTAAATGGTCTGGGTGTGGCCCATAAATGCCATCCAGGGTGATTCTGCAGTGCCTACCACACGGTAAGCCCAAATGTCTAGACACAGGCAGGAGCTAAGACTGACCATTACGTGAGCAATTACATTGCTGACATGTAACATATATAAAACCCTGGCGGGCAAGCGGGCAGTCAAAAACCACGGTTTGGCAGCCAGCAAGAGTTTTTTAAGTGTGGGAAAATTTGCTCTATATTAAAATGTGCTACTTGTTAAAAATTAGCTCCACTCTCTCACTGCAGAAATAATATGAAATGCTGTTTCATAAGAAAAGCAGATGAAGGGAAGGGAAATCTCTTCCCAGGAAGTATAACCTGTATAAAGAATGCTGAATAAAAGATCAGAAAGTAGATGGGGCTATCCAGGTACGATCACTTCATGGAGGTGTTGAGTCCCATTCAAGTCCATTTAATGCAACCAAATGTTACGAGATCCACCATGTGCTAGGGTCTGCGTAAGGGAATCCATAGGGGCAAAGAAGAATAAAGTTATCTGTCCCTGGGAGCTCAAGGTCTCACAGGAAATATCTAAAGTAATACTACGAAGGCAACTGGATACCCACAGCTATAACTGAAGATGGGCAGGTGAGACAGGATTGAGGTAGAGAAGTTAAATCACCTTCTAGAGCTACAAGGCAAAGCTAATGAAAGGTCAACTGAAAACTATACGTTCTCCATTTCCTTGCCCATAACTCTAGAGAATATGGGCACTGGAGACTGGAAAAGAAATTTTGAGAAGGAAAAACAAGTTTTCATGGGTAAGAGCTTTAGAAGATCGAGGTGTATTCAAGGCCTTATATAAGAGAGACCAGGACAGGATGAAAATATTCCATTTCAACAACTATCTAGTGAGCACCTACTACCTTGGCCACAAAGACAAGTCAGATATGGCTCTTACCAATAATAATAATAAAAGAGAATGATTAAAGAAAAAACAGGAAGGTCTAATGCAGGGATGGCAAACTCAATGCCTACAGGGGGCAAAGACAGAGAACATGACCAAGGTTAGAGGGTCAGGTAGGAACTACAGCAAACCAAAGAACATCCTCCATCTTCTTTTGGTTTGTTAAAGAAAAGCTGGAGGTCAGGTATGATGGCTCATGCCTATAATCCTAGCGCTTTGGGAGGCTGAAACAGGAGGATCACTTGAGGTCAGGGCTTCAAGACCAGCCTGAGCAAGAGTGAGGCCCCGTCTATACCAAAAGTAGAAAAAATTAGCCAGGCGTGGTGGCCAGCACATGTAGTCCCAGCTACTCGGAAGGCTAAGGCAGGAAGATCGCTTGAGCACTGGAGTTTGAGGTTACAGTGAGCTGTGATGACCCCACTACACTCTACCCAGAGCAACAGAGTGAGACTCAGTCTCAAAAAAAAAAAAAAAGCTGGAAACCTGAGCTTAGATGTCAACTCTTCCAACTTTTCAATACAATGCAAGCCAAACAATACATGCCCGATGCCAAAGTCTGGCCCACAGACTGCCAGTTGGAGACCCTTGCGTGAGAGTGAGTAGAGAATAATGTACACAGCTTGTGACTGTGAGAGCCAAAGGAATGATGAAGAGAGATATTGTGAAGGCTGCAGAGCCAGGCCCAAGGGAAAATGAATACAGTCCTGGTAAAAATAAATGTAGTAATTGAACCAATCTAGTAAAACTCCAGAGGCCTGTGGTATAACACTCACCACTAACTCCTGCACAGCACTTTACAGTTTCTAAAGCTCTTTCTCGTGTCATCCCACTTTTTCCCCAACAACCCTAGGAGGTAAGCACTATTATTCCTCCTGCTGTGTAAGTGTTGAATCTCTGGTTTGGAACATTTAAGCAACTTGCCTGTGGTCCCACAGCTGTGGAGTGACACCACCAGGACTCAGATCTAGGACATGTACTTTTCCAGAATCTCAAAAAGCAGAGCTCCGGGCTATCCCGGCCCCTCCTGGTGATTCCCATTCCTTCTGCCTGATGTCTGGACATAAATCTGAACTTTCTAGGCATCCCCCAGGTCATTCTGATGTACGACCAGCCTTGATAACACTGGTCTAGACTCATGTTCTCAACCAGGGGTGATGTGGTACCCCTGGTTCCCCAGGGAACATTCTACCTGGAGATACTTTTGGGTAGTCACAACTGTGGGGGCGGGGGGTGAGGGGTCCTAGGGGCATCTAGTGGGCAGAGGCCACGGATGCTGCTGAACATCCCAGGATGCACAGAGCAGTCCCTACGGCAAAGAATCACCCAGCCAGAAGCATCAAGGGCCAGGGTCGAGAAGCCCTGATCAAGACCCTCGTGCCTTGCTGCTCACACTGTGGTCTGGGAATCAGCAGAATCAACATCGCCCGGGAGCTTGTTAGACATTCAGGCCCCGGCCCAGACCTACTGACTCGGATTCTGTCATTTACCAGGCTCTCCGGGTGACTCGTGCACACTTTGAGGAGCACAGCTTTCGACCGGCTTCCTTGGCAACCACAGAATTTTAGAACAGAAAGGAACCTCCGTGGTGGGCCAATCTCATTATTTTATAGATAGGAAAACTCCACGATGCCAGTTAGGAGCAAAGCATGGGCTCTTTCAACAGCTCAGCCTCTCTGAAAAGAGGATACCGACCTTTGGGGTGGGGGGCTGTCATGAAGCCTGAAAGGGGTCTACTGTCCTATTGGTGAATAATTTGTTTAAAAAAATTATCTCCAGCACCACAGAGGATTACTGTGTTTACCCACGGATGCTGCCCCCCTAAATTTTATAAGGAAAGTAGCCCCCACCGTGGTGGCGCCCGGCAGCCAGCATGACGAAGCAGAGTTCTCCAACAGGACAGCAGAGTGGATGCAATCTCCCCAAAAGACTTCTGGGGAATGATGCTAAACCAGTTCCAAAGAAGCATGCAGAATTAAACAGCAAGCGTAAAAAGGGTTTACCCCGAGGATTTACGCAGCTGAGGTCACGAGCAGGTTGTAACAGGGTTTGAGGCAGCTCAGTGCAGGCTAACACAGACACACGTCAGAGCTAATGGTGGGTGTTTGCCCCCAGTCCTTGGGAAGAAGACAAAAACAAATTCTTTTGGCTATAATAATATTACAGGCTCAAATTAAGCCGACATACTCCTAAACAGCTGAAGCGGTCCAACATCGTGCCTTAATCCTAGTATTTGCTGGAAACCCAACTGCCGTCAAAGATGCCTTCAACAAAACTAGAAGATCGCAGCCTGTGTCAAAAAGAACCAGCAAAGTTGGAGAAAGTTCTATAACAAGTAAAGAAAGGAGAGAGCAAGAAACTAGGTGTTGCTGGCATTTGGCAACCAGCTACAGCGAAACCAGAATACTGATATGTGTGATAGAGAAATCTTATATTTATACCTCAAAATTGAGGAGAGGGAGAGAGAAAGAAAGCCTAGAGAGATTAACATATGGGCAAATACAGAATTTTATGTAATATATAGTTATCTGCCAAATAAACTGTGCAAATAATAATGATGGATTGTTTGGCAGGGGGTAGATGTTTACCAGGTCTTCCCACAGGCCATGGTCAAACGAGGAAATGAGAGTGATCCGGATGAGTTCTACTCCTCTCCAGAATACTTCTGGGTTAACTCAGTTAACTAAGTTGCTCTTGAGGCTGACAGAGCCAGCTGAACCTGGCTTTGAGCTTCTTCTCTTTAATGACGCCTGTGTATAACAACATCATTTATTATCCTGTTACAGAAATGTAATAGTTTTAAAATGGGGGAGGCAGAGAATGTCCTTTACGCATGAGAAGAATACATAAAAGCCTCAAAAATCCCAGAATACATTACAGCTGGAAATATCAGGGAGTTTAAAAAAAAAAAATAAAAGTCAGCTTAAATTTAATAGACCGTTTAAATTCCTAGTTGATGGTAATTAGACAGCAAGCAGCATTTCTTTAAACGCTGCTAGACAGAACTTAATCCAATTTAGGTAATCACTAACCTTTGCTTTTTTTTTCCTCTCCCCTAAATGAAACCCAAGGATTGATCTACAAAGGCCATAAACTGGCAAAGCATAAGAAAAGAATATTTAAAGAGAGAGAGGTTGCGGCCAAGTCCAATTAAAATGGAAGCAAGTCTCACAGGCTCCCTAATTTATATGGAGGATAAGAGGACAGAGCACAACAGAAGGCATTCCGAGGGGGGTGGAGGTACTTACTTCCCTGCCTCTCCCCTCTGGGAGCCTCATCTGGAACGTCAACTGCCATCCCCTCCCAGGTCAATGCTAGTAATGCCCTACACTCTCAATATCTGCAGGGCCACTCTCCTTCTCCCATGGAGCAACCCCTGGTCAGAGCTATCCAGGACTATCCCGTCAGGCACCCTTGTCCACCTGCCTCCTGTCCCCTCATTTTAGAGTTCCTGCATGGCTCTGGCACTGACTTCTGATGCAGAAACTTCCATAAGAACCACTAGGCCCTTGTTGAGAACCTGGGACCCTAGGTTCTTCATGGAAGGCCTTCAAGGGTAGGTATCAAAATGTACTGGAAAGAGTAAGAGGCTTAAGTTAATGGCTGTGTGACCCTGGAAAAGTTCACAAACCCCTCTGTGCCTCTGCTTTCTCATCTTAAAATAGAAAAAATAATATCTACCTTTCTGGGTTGTTGGGAGGCTTGAATACCATTCCCATAGCAGTACCTGGCTCAGAGTACTTGCCCAATAAATAAGTTGGTCCATTTGTTTTAACTGTGTGAGTTTCTAAATAAACCTTGGATCTCTAGGTGATGAAAAAATGTGAATTAACTCAATTTCATCGTTGATGCCCCATCACTACCACGAATCCTCTATGCCTTCCACCCACTTCTTGACTCCAGTGTAAAAATCTTTCCTTGTAAAACAGTACCTTCTGCTTGTCAGGGTACTACTCTCTCTGTTCCCAAATGCCAAATGCCATATCCTGTAGGATAGCCACAAAACATTTTATTCCTGGATTTCGGCAACTGAGATATTAATTTACACTGGCTTGTTAACAAAGGATCATATTTCTACAAGCATGGCTTTTAACACATTTACATTTTTTGTACACAGAGGCAACTCTGAGAACAACCGTTTAATGACGAATGCTAGATATTGTAGGGATCTTTCTGAGGGACTTACACTATTTCTCAAACCAATTCTATATTGCTCTAGTTCTGTGAAAAGGACTAGAAGGAAAAAGTCTGCAATTCAAAAAAGATTTCGGTATATTTTACCTCGTACAAGGGCAGTATGGAAGGAATAACCATAGAGAAACAGACACATGCATACCTACAAGTCATTAGGAAAGAGAAATCAGAAAAAAAATTTAAGAAATCCACAAAGTCCTTGCTGAATTCAATTTTCTACAGAAATGGCTCAAATGTTGAACATATATTAAGTCAATGAGCAAAGTGAAGATGAGGACATTTAGGTCTGTACTATCTGCATGAGATTTTCAGATAGTTTAACAGTTTTCTAAAGACAAGATTAGGACTTTTTTTCAATAATTGACCCATTTTGTGACATTTTGTAACATTAAAAAAAGAAATAAAAAGCCACCAATTTAATCAACGAACAAAATGATCCAGTCAACAACTGGGGAATTGAAGAAAAGAGACATCTTCAGCCTACAAACCTGTAGTTAATTAAAAACCTGTAATCCATTCTCAGCTCCATCCCTGTGTGTATGGCCTTAGACATACCAAATTCTCTGAACCTCAGTGGGCTCGTCTATATAATGGGTATATAATAATACCTACACCATTGTTTTGGTGGGATTACGTATTATCACACTCTCCTAGTTCAAAGTTTAAGGTATCCTAAGACTTCAAGAGTTGCTTGCACCTTCCCCCTTTTTAAAATAAGGAAAACATTTTTACAATGTTCAAACACAGAACATTACTGAAACCTCACCCTCTGAAATAAATAAAGGAATGAGGTCCCAGCCCGGAGAAACAAGCTACTCTAAACTAAGCCCCCGAGAAATAAGCCAGTTAGATGTGCTTATTTCTCATACCTTTCTTCTTTTACACATTAATGGTTCCAGCTGTTAGAAGCCTCAGTGAAACACAGAAAGGGCAATGACTGGGGTTGGAAAAATTGAAGACAACTCTGTAGATTGACCAAGCACTGTTTCCTTTATTAGCAAGGCTACATTTCTACAGAAACCGCTCTAAACAGCACTCGTGATCAGATTCTGGGGCTCAATTTCTGCAACCAGAGAAGACCGACCAGCCAGGTTGGACAGAGAGAAGCACTGCACCTCCTCAGTCTTACGGGGAACTTTACCAGGGGCTAAATTTAAAATGTGGCTAATTTAGTTTCTGCAAGCTCCATTTCCCCTCCTCTTCGTGCTGTCAGTGACAGCACCTTCCACCCCAAAGCAATTTACCAGAGCTCAGCACTATGACATTTTGCAGTATGTAGGGCAATGAAATGTCATGACTGCAAACCTACGGTGGTCAGGATCACCCAAGAGAGATCAAAAAGGGCAGTCTTCAAGGCTTCCTCAGCGAGCGTGCCTTGGGGAGGTGGGGGGTGAGGTGTAAGGATGGAGGCAACCCATTGGTCCATCCGTCGGCTCTGGTCCTTGGCATGGGTCACCTGAATTTGCACGTATGGTTCGAGCAACAGGTCCTGAACTCTGCCCAAGCAGGGACGCCGGGAGACTCCAGCCCAGAGCTGCTTCCACGCGGGACTCCGGGCCAGACGTGCAGCTGAGCAGCCGCGCGCGAGCCTTCGGTCATGTGGGGCGCATCGCAGTAATTGAAACCTTGCACACCGCAGGATTGCAGTGGCCTCTATAAATACTCACCGCCTTACTGCTGACAAACAAAACGCGGGCTCCCGGCACCGCGGGGGAAGAGGCGGCGGCGGCCTGTGCTCGAGGGCAGGGGCTGGGTGGAACTTGGGGGAAAACCCTATTGCCACGCAGGGAGGCATCCCAGAGCCCATTCCGGAAGCACGAGCCGCAAGTACGCAGCCGGGTCTGACCCGGGCGCCTCTGCCGTAGAGAAATCCCGCAGGAAGGGGAAGGGGGTCTTGGCCCGTGGGGAGGGGGTCGCAGAGCGTCCCCTGCGCGCTGGAGCACGCGCCGTGCGCACAGTGGAGGCGCAGGGCAAAGCTCGCCAAATGGAGGGCGGGCGCCAGAGATTGGGCGGAAGGGGATGCCGCGGGCTCAGAGCAAGGGGTCCGCGGGGGCCGGCCCCAGCGCTTCCGTGCAGCCACCCCCGGCCCGCCCCACTCGGCGGTGCAGCCGCGCGCGGGACAGTGACGCCTCCCATCACGCCCCCTTACAAACAGGGTTATGGGGAAGCGGCGTTGCAGGCGCCGAGTCGCCCGCGCCCGAGGGGCCGCAGCTATTTAGATTTGCCCCTCCGGCAGAGGAAGAACAAGAGAGAAAAACAAGCAAACTTTCTTTTTCAACCTCCTGGCTCAGCCTGGGTGGCACGATCGGCAGCATCCATCCCACCTCACAGCGGTTCCCCAACCACCCTAAATCCCCCGGGAGCTCGGCTTGCTCCCCGCCCCACCATGGTGGTCGCCAGCACTGTCCCCCATGCCCGCCTGCAACGTCCCCCCTTAACCATGCGCGGGTCCGCAGCTGCCTGCCCCCCAAATGTGCCGCTTTTCCCCAGCCCGCCCGCAACCGTCCCGCAGTGCCCCGCCAGATTGTGCCTGGCGATTTCCTGCTTAATCCCGTGCCACTGCCGAGCCCAGGACTCCGGCCCCTCCCGGGGACTTCCCCACTCACCCCCTTGGGGTCCCCGGCGTGAGTCACCCTGAGCTGCGCACAATCGCCACTCGCCTCCGCCCCAGACTCCGCGCGCCCAGGAAAAAGTTTCCGGCCTTCCCAGGGAAGTTTTCTCACCGGAGAGAAAGGAGCGACCTGGATGGTTCTCGCCGCCGCGCTCTGCCGAGCTCCCCCTCCCGCCCTCCCCCCAGCTCTGCCCTCGCGCGGCCGGTCCAGCCCCGGCTCCTCTCCCGCGCCAGGCGACGAACGCCGCGGCCGCGGAGCGCACGGCCGGGCTGGTGACACGTTTCCCTCCTCTCTCATCCTACGGCCTCCTCCTTCCCCTCCTTCTCCCCTCCTCTCTCCTCCTCCCACTTTTCCTGTCCCAGGCACAACGCTTTAGTTTCTCTCCAACGGCCCCCAACCCACTTCACCCCATCCCATTTCTCACCCCCTGCAACTCTCACCCGTCCGGGAGAGCGGGGAGGGGGCCCCTTCACTTACATCCAGTTCGAGAGTTTCGGGAAATCCAAGCTCTTTAACCTAAGAAAACACGGGGAGGATGCCCCAAGTGAGGGGAGCTCCGCGCTCGTTTCTCTCCTACAAGATGAGATCGCAGCCCCGCCCCCGCCCCCCCCGCCCCCGCCCCTGCCCCACGGAGGGGAGCTCTGCCAAGCCCAGAGGTGGTTCTGGGGGCTCATTTAAAAGAAATAAGGCCGGACTGCATACAGGACAAGTGCCTGAAACTTTTTTCTTTCTTTCTTTTATTTTTTTCTTCCTTTCTTTCCTTCTTTCTTTTCTTCCTTTTCCTTCTTCCTTCCTTCCTTCCTTCTTTCCTTCCTTCCTTCCTTCCTTCCTTCCTTCCTCCTCCTTCCTTCCTTCCTTCCTTCCTTTTCCTTTCTTTCCTTCTTCTTTTCTCTCTATCTCTTTCTTTCTCTTTCCCTCTCTTTCCTTCCTCCCTCCCTCCTTTCCTTTCTTCTTCTTTCTTTGTCTTTCTTTCCCTTTCCTTCTTTCTTTCAAAAGTCCTCAGGCTGATTCCTGAAGTTGTTTGAAGTGCATTAATGAAAATATAATCCAAGTGAAGTCTCTCGCTTAACTTTGCAAAATTCTTTTAAAAGTCCCCAGTTCTCATTCCAGCGGAAGGTTTAATAAATTGGAGGGCCCTTCAGGGTTTGAAAACCACAGAAAACCAACCAATCCCAAGATTAAAAACAATGTAAAATTATTTTTAAAACTTTTTTTTGCAGGTGTTAAGAATTTGATGCAGCTGTTTGCAGGACTCACTGGCTTGCACAATTTCACCCTATGGTTGAGCAGGAAATACTTTAAAAATGCTGCCTGATCACACATCACACTTAGGCTTTGAAACCACAGTGACATTTGCTGAAGAAAAAAAATGTATGTGTCCTTTTATCTCAAAACGGATCGTAATTCCTTTTCGTTTTGGTCACTGTGACCTTACAAAACATATTGTTAGTGTTGCAGGTTAATGAATCTCTGAGTGTCTCATTGGTCCAGTAATATTAGGTAAAGCTAAAGGGTTTTCAGCAGAAACCCCAGAATGACAGGAGGGCTTTAAATCTCATCCCAAGAATCACTGGGCACCTGGGCACAGGCCTGTGAAAGAAAATCTTAAGGGGTCAAAGAGCAGGGAGGGAACTTAAGAAAGGTATTCAAGGAAGCTGTTCCGGATAGAGCTGGAATCCATTCTACTAAGTGAAGTATCTCAAGAATGGGAAAACAAGCACCACATGTACTCACCAGCCAATTGGTATTAACGGATCAACACCTAAGTGGACATATAGGAGTAATATTTATCGGGTGTCGGGCAGGTGGGAGGGGGGAGGAGGGGATGGGTATATACAAATATAATGAGTGAGATGTGCAATGTTTGGGGGATGGTCAGGCTTGAAGCTCTGACTCTAGGGGGGCATGGGCAATATATGTAACCTTAAGATTTGTATCCCCATAAAATGCTGAAATTTAAAAAAAAAAAGGAAGCTTTTCCAAGAGCTTAAGAACTAACGCTTGGAGCCAGAACAGCAAGGTGTATATACCAGCTCCTCCTCTTCCTAGCCTCAAGTTATTAGCCAAGTTATTTAACTCAGCTGGGCCTCAGTTTACTCATATGAAAATGAGGATAAAAGTAGTAGACAGCTCTTAGGGTGGCTGTGAGCATTTAATGGGTTCAGACAGTGAGAGTGTGTAGAATCTTTGCTGGCATTCAGAAGCTAGTAAGGTCTTAGTATTACTGTTATTATCCCTCAAGTCTGAGAAGTGAAAAGGGAGCTAGTTCTGTGTGGCTGCAGGGAGATCAGTTTGGGAACATCCATTTCACATTGCTAATTCTCATCTCCTTTAGTTCTCTTCAGTAAGGCCTATCCTATTCCACCTATTTAAAATTGTAACTTGCCCCTCCCTGCTAATCCCCCTCACTCAACTGTACCTTTTTTTCCCATAGCATCTATCACCTTGTAATGTATTATATGATTTATTTTTTTTAATTTATTGTCTTTCTCTCTCACCGCCTCCTACTTTCAGGCTAGAACATCGGCTGTACAAGGGCACAGATTTGTTTTGTTCACTGATACAGCCCAAGTTCCTGGAACAGTGTCTGGCACATGGTATATGCACCCAGCAAATACCACATAAATGAATCGATGAGTGAATTCATTTAGCATATGCTGTACTGATTGCCTGTGGTGGGCAGGGCATTGTGCAATAAGAAAAAAAGTTAATCACCAGGCCTGTCCAAGGATGAAAGAGGCTTCTGGAAGAAGTGCACTCCCTAGTAAAGGGAAGCATTCATGAAATAGGAATGGTCACCAGCTTGGTGGGGATGCCATAAAAAAGTATTCAAGGACAGGAAGAGAGGTTTGCTGAGGTTAAAGTCTTTTCTAACCCTAAGAGTTTTTAATTTTGTAAGCAGAACTTTCTTAAAATGGAAAGTAGCCAACATTTCTGTATAAATCAGAGCTCCTCTCTAAGGACCATTAATGCCAATACATTATGCTTGTCAACATCCAATGTTTAACCAAAATTCTAAATGTCAATGAAACATTGCCTTTTTAAAATTAAGAAACAGACTATTATTAGGAGAAGCTAGCATAGATCATTCTATTTAAACATTAATTTATGGAGGAAGAAATTCTAGGTCTTTATTAGACATATCAGATACATAGCTTGCCATATCCACAGACTCTGAAATGAAAGTTGGCCCAAGCAAGGGTCCTGCTGAAAGGGTAACCCTTAGGCAGCCCCTTTAGGCCTAAGGGTGGTCACATGACCCACGGGCAGTCCATCCAAAGATTTGCCCAGTGACAAACTCTGGCCCCAAAAGGTACACTAGGCCAATCAATCAGATTCTATTTCAGGAATGTGGATGTACACACACACACACACACACACACACACACACACGCAGGTACACACACACATGCAACTAATAAGCAGAGCAGAAGCTGAAAGGTCATAACATATCTGAACTCTAGATTCTAGAAGCTTAAGACTGGCTGCCTATGGACCAGTTAGATGTATATTAGATATATGTTGTTTGAACCTCATGGTGTTAACATTTTTTGAATTACATGCCAATATTTAAAAATCAGAAAACATCATGCAAAATGGAGTTTTCAGCTTGACTTGAAAAATCTGAGAGACCTAGATTCTTGCTGCAGGCCTACATGGCCCCAATTGGCTAGCTCTGCAGTACTTTTTTTCCCTTTTAGGGAGAACATGCAGTTTCCAGTTTGCCACAATACCAGCCACTCCCTGCTTCTCTTGTTCCCAGCCTGATCACCCATTTTCCTGCCACTCCTGATGCAGCTAGCAAGGGATGTGGGCACGTAGTTAGGATGGGCCAAAGCTATGAACAAGCAGAAATTATGCAACAGAGTGGCATGGGTTCAAACCATTTTTCCCCTGGCAAGAGAATCCATTTTTCAAACAAAACCTTGCCCGGAACCACACAATTGGAGCACTACCGAGGTAAAGGAAGCTGTAGACAAAGAAGCAAGTGGACATCAAGACAG